TGGATCTCCCTCACATTAATTGTATTACATCTGCCACCTCTTTTTCTGTCTCTCTTGCTCGTTCTCTTTCTTTTTAAACAGGATTTTTTTTCCCCTATAGATGTATAAGAAATGACTACATCAGCCCAAGGCCTCATAAACTGACCGTTTGTCCTCTGGACACAATAGCGTGGCCAGCCCTCTGCTCCTCCTCTCCAATTATGTGCGATTAGTCTCAATGTGTTGTGTCAAGGAGGAGGAGTGTGCTGAGTGCTTATTATCTGTTTAGGTACAAGAAGAGCACATTTAGGCTCTGACTATGAATGAAAAGTGAGTCTTTATCAGCGCTCAAATCTAACTGCTGCTGTTCTTCAGGCCTCTTGCAAAATAGGTCCTTTCCAGAGAAATTTTGAATAAATGGTTGATAAACTAGATTGCAACCAGGGGGAGTTTTTAAAAACTCAATCACACAATTATCTTATTTAAAGTAAGTATATATTGTTATATGCTGTGATTCAAGTGTAGAGCAAACATTTAATAGGTGCTACCTAGGATTAAGAGAGAATGACTTTTCTGCAGGGAACCCAAGCATATCCTTGCCTAGTGCATCCACGAGATGCTCTAATGCCTTTTGTGAAAATTCAGAGGTTTATCTGTAAGGAATGATCTGTGCCCACTTTAGCAGTAATGTCATTAGTAGGTTAGCTATACATCTTCATATCTTTAGTAGAGGCAATGCGTATATTTAGCATGATGCAATTAAAGTGATAGGTGGGAGACTGGGGGAGAATCCTTTTGCGTGTTAAACAAACTTAGCTGTCATAAAAACAGCAACTCTCAAATGTCTCTCTGCTCGCTTCTATCATCAAACAAATTTTTCACCATCAGTTTGCATGTCCTCGTATTCACCACTTTTTCTGCTCCATTAGAGCACCTAGATGGATCTCGGAAGGCATAGGTCAAGTCGCAGTTAGATCATACATTTCTTTCTCACAAAAACTTGAATTGCAATGCCAAGTGATGGACTAACATCACAATAACAGCAATTTATTCCTCTTTGGATAAAACAGCAGTCTATTCTCAGTGCTAGATAAAGACCAGGGCAATGCAAACCAGCCATTTAGCTGAGTAGTTCAGCTAGTGGCAGCTCTCCTTTGGCGACTGTATAGTTTGCACACTGGCTTCATATTTTCTTGTTTAAAAATTAGAATTTGGAATGTTTTAAAAGGCAACACAGGTAGTTCCATTTGTACTGGTGAAAATACAGCAGAAATTATTTCTTCTGTAAAACCTGCAACAAAATCTGCCGGACAAAGAAAACCCATCCCTGCAGTAGCACCTAAGATGGTCTATTCTTTTTTTTCCTTTTACAATATAGAACAGCAGAACCATGAGAATATTTCCATTTTTTTCTCATGAAAATACATAAATTGGCAAGAATTCAATTTGCATTCGTGTGTTGTGGGTAGAAATCCAGTGTTTATTTCTCTGGGAGAAATTGTATTTTAACAAGTAAACTAGTAATGTATTTTTTTTTAAATATGTGGGAGTGGTGTGTACCATTACCTAAGCTTGAGACAGGGTGTAAGAATTGAGCTGTTCCTGCCAAGAGATGCCTAGTAAAGAAATACTCTTATTGTGTGATTGAAACCTAGAGAATCTTCTGTAAAATGTTAAAGATGTCATAGATCTGCTCTTTCTGGGATCCTCACATGGAAATATCTCTCATCTGGGCTCTTTGGAAGCTTGTGAGAAACTAATGTTGTATATTATTGAATAATTTTAAAATGTTTTTATTTTCTCAAATTTTAATAAAATGCAAATATTGAGAAGGGAAAAATATAGCTGATTTATAAAGTTTATCCATTTATATTTCTTTTGAACTTCATGATTAACAATTATTTCTATGCATTAGTATTAGGTTCTATAATTGCAATTGAAATGCCCCATTTCATACTTGTCTATGTAATTATGCATGTGTTTGTTTCAAAAGGAGGCCTGTCTGCTTAGGAAATCATAAGAATTATTATGATATTACTCTTCCCCGTGTACCTGTATCTTCTGATAAAACTCCTGCTTTTCCTTTGTCATACTAAGTAGATTTGGTTGGATGTAAGAATGTTTCTAATATTGCCTGTGGTCAGTTCTAATGTGGTGATATGAACAGCCACATACAAGTTGGTTATAAGAAATATATTTTATTTTATAGCAAGACATATGCTGTGAATTGGGATAAAAGTGCTAGAAAAGACTAGCTAAGAGGTTGATGCTATTTTGTATAAATTGTGTATTTTGTTGGCTTTTTGACTGAGCATGAAAATGTAACTTCCATTAGGGAAGGGTAATTTAGGTGCTCAGTATTCAGCAGAAAACTTGTCGGGGCCATAAAAGCTTTTCTGGCTGGTTCCTCCGGTGTTTTCAGAGAAGAGCTGCCCGCCCCTTGCTGATTTTCCCTTTGGCTTCAGTGTGGGCTGAATTTACCACTGCATACCTGTTGAATCAATTTGGGGGATCCAGCAGTTAACTGAGTGAATGGAAGGATTAGTGGCCCTCTGGAGCCCTATTTCAACAGCCAGGTGTCTGTCCTAAACTAGTTAACTGCTTTTGACAGTTGAAGAACCTGGTTTTAATACCATTGGCAGGAGGTTGTTGTGGCGGTGGGTTTTTTCCCTTCTCCCCACTACCAAAGTGGAACATACCCTCTCCAAAGGGTGAGACATTTTTTTAAATAGGAGTAGACTGTCCCCTCCCCTCAACCCAGCTTCCATGGAGTTTGTCTTTGTGCTTAGTCAGCATTTGACTCATTTCCAATCTATGCCAAACAATTCGGTGGCATTGTCTGCAGGACCCTTTCATTGGACTCTGGGGGAGGGAGCAGGACGCCCACCGGAGAAGGAAATCACAGTATATGTCGACACACATACCCACACACTTACAGGGAACATGAGGCTGTTTAGACCCTAGATCTAGGCTCCGGCTCCCAGATTCCAGGAACACTTCCCACCCCAGATCAAAATCTCCTGAGCTCAGACTGTATGAAATGTCATAATTGTGCTGAGTGTATCCCATAGAGGAAAGATTGATTTGAAAGTCAGACTGGGTCTCCTTAGAAACTGAATTTAGACAGAGGGCAAATACGTTTTCCTGAGTGGGCTATTTCCAAATTAGGAAGGAGCCCGTTGGTGTTTAACAAACCATTAAGCCTGAAATGCCACTTTTTAATTCTCAGATTTCGTTTTACCCGTAGAGCTTACTGCCCAGGCTATGGCTAAATGCTCCCTGTGTCCTCTGCCCTGGAAGTCTGTGCATTTGGAGTCTATATTTTGCCTTTTTTGTCCCCCTGACTTTTCAATTAATACATTTTTTAATAGATAAAACAGATCATACTGTGACTTTTAAAATGTCAACAAGCTTGTAAACAGAAATGTAATAAAGTGGCTAATAGGAGATTCAATAGTTAATAGAGGGCCTGAAGTGTGAGCAAATACAGTAGCTATATATTGGAAACCACGCAAGTGAAGATGGCTTTAGTATTGCAAACTGAGGAAGAAAATTGTTTTTAATTAGCACCTTCATAAGAACTGCTGATTAATACTGTTTTGTTTGGTGAAAAGCTTTCAGCTGAGTAATTTGTACAGCCATTACAACAGTTTTGTTAGAGCAGGACTCCTGTTGTTAAACACAAACAGCAGATGATAATGGTGGAAGATGAGTTTGTCATGTAACAATTTACCTTATTGAAAAAAGCTTTATATAAAACCCAATACAGTAGGTACCAGCAGAAATCACATATTTTAAATCCTTCCAAAATTGCAGTGTGCCACGCTTGTGTTTCTTTTTTTTTTTTTCCAGGGACTAGAAGCAGATTTTATATCATTTATAAAATTATATACACAATTTAAAGGTGGTAAAGCAGGCACAGACCACTTTCTCAGCCACGGTTTACATCGGAGCCGTAAAGTGGCCGTGTATTCAAACAATTTCTAACTATATAAAGCAGGTTGGAAAATGGAATCCTAATTAAATAATGTTACTCAGATGTAAATTTGCATTGGGACTGAATGTTGGAAAATAAGAATTGGTGTTTCTGCCTTAGGTGGGTTTATCACACATAGGATCTTAAAAAAAAAAACTCTCTTTCTCAAGGGAAGTTTAATTAACATTTTTTTTTTCTGGAAGTGTTTTAACTGACCAGGGAAAAGAGTGCCCATGGAATGAGACCTGACCAGGGAATCAGAGGCTGATTTCAGTGAACTCCCATCAAATGGATATTGTGCTAGCCAGAAACATGGGAACTTTTTTTCTTTTCAAATAAAATGCAACGGTAAAGCATATTTGCATTAAAATATTACACTAACCAAGGCTGGTAAGGACTGTAAATTATTGGAGTGGCGTAATAGAGCATGAGTTTTTTTTTTTTTTAGAGAGGCCTTTGGGGTAATAACAAGGGTTGAGGCTCACGACAGTGCCAAATAAGCTTTAGACAGCATAATAGTCTGCAAAGAAAGCCACAGAGCACTAATGTGAAGGAAGAGCTGTCCACCACATGCAGCAAAAATCACCAAAGGTCATTTTATGGTAGCAATTGTGACATAAAATTGGTGGTCATGCTACATGTCTAATACTCAGCACAGCTTTATAAATGATGGGCCCCTAGCGATGGCTGTCATTAAGTGCTTTCATCATAATAAACTTTAAACTGTTGGCTTTATGAATCGCCAGCTAGCTTCAGCTGTTCGTTGGATGGAGCTTGCAGTGCCTTAAGTGTGACAAGACCTATTAGGAATTGCAACCATGTTTCAAGCGTACTTGGCTTCCCCACTCCTGGGGTGATTGCTGCCTATTAAACCGCGTCTGGGAAGATTTTCCTCCAGCAATCTCTGATCAAGAGCTTTTTTGGGCTTTGACCTGCATTTCCTTCAAGACTTTCTCTGAGGAGTTTTATAAGAGCAAAACTCCAGAGGATTTATAGCCACTTCTGATTAATACCCTTCCAGTTTTTCTAGCAACTCTCCCACTGC